ACAAAAGCTAGGAAGCTGAAAATTTAGGGGAACGTTCCCCGCCCACGTGTGACCCTGCAAATTTAAATTCAGCTTCCCCGTACCGCAGGTAACACATATGGCCAAGTGAAAGCTTTTTACGGGTAAATTAATATTTTGGGAACCACGGAGTCTAGAAAGCTGAAATTTTAGGGTGATGACTCACTGCCCATGCTCAACCTTGCCTATTCAAATTCAGCGTTCCCGTGCTCTTGAGTATCATCTACAGCCTTGTGAAAATCTTGGCGGGTAAACTATTAACTCGGGATAAAGATATTCACCCTTCAAGTTTCGAATTCAGCTTTCATGCGTTGGTGCGTGAAATTTTTAACTCTTTTTCAGTGTTTCAACTATTTTTGCACAGACTAAAGTAAAACGCAGTGAAAATCATTAATATGCAATCGTTCGATGGGCTGAATTGCACAAAACGCATGATCGCATTGGCTAGTTTGGTGCACGTTGCTATTTATTAAGCACTGCAACCGTCACACTGACATTTGCACTACTACCCGTCACGGTGTTGAGTTAAGGCGTATATGATTTAATGGGCCGAAGCGTCTTATCTCATTCTTATCTCCTTCTCTCGTGCTGTAATCTGTCGTGCCTTCGCCATTTAGGCTTCCAGGGTCAACCCGATTGCTACAATCTGTTTATTGATTCGTTTCGATGATAAATTAGTACTGGCACATGCCAGGCAGTCAAACTCGCCATCAGCTTGCTTCTAAGCAATCCTCGAAAAGGAGCTTCATCGACAGTTTTGCCGGCGGGCGGCGGTTACTGTTGATATTTGCTATCACTCGGACTACTTCTTGAATGTAGTCGCTTCTTGCGGGGAATGAATACGTAGAGGGTTTTGACTTTCTTCAGTAAAACAGTCACTTTGCATGCTTTTCCTGAAGTGATTTTTCTTCCTTTTGCTGTATTCCTGTAGATCGTGCAATTACGAATGTTTCAGTGGCAGTATGGATTCGAGCGTACCACCGTGAAAAGAGGCCTGCGAAAGCTCAATAAATTGTTCATTTATCAAAGTATGCAACGTGAAGATGCACCAAAACTCGAGAGATTTGTTAGTTTTCCTCGGATCCCTTTTCCCCCTCTTCCTTCTGCAACTATGAGAAATATAAAACCTCGAAAATTTTTCAAAGTTTTATAAGTTTTATGCTTCTTCAAAATATAAAATTTTTCAAAGTCTTCGAAAATTTTTCAAAGTTTTATGATCTTGGAAATATAAAACTTCGAAAATTTTTCAAGAATAAAAAATTTTCGAAGTTTTATATTCGCAAGATTCTCTGATAAATTAACGAAAGGAGGCACTTCCTTGTTCCCTTGATTCTCAAAATTGCACTGATTGCTTGGTAAGGAGATTTGACTTTAATGGACCTGTTGCATCATGACTCCCTCCTAGGTAAGTTGTGTAATGGCGCAAAAGCGGCCTATATAAGTCCGTCATGTTAGTATTGTAAAGTAGTGTCGACCCAGTTGGATGTTGTGGAATTGTGGAGGCGACCCAGACGACTCACGAAGGACGTGGATCCGCTATTACTCCGAACTATCGCGAAGAAGCCGACGACTCAACTCGACAAACCGGAGCACTGGGGCAGTCGACGAGCCACCTAGCCTCCAATCCCAATAAACCCATCAGACCGAAACATTCCAATTCAGTTTTTTGCTTTTAATTATTATTTTCTTTTTAGTTTACAACCTTTTTTATAACTCCATAAAACATACAAATTTTTTTGGGAAATGCCATATTTCAGGTGTCCTTATCCCAGGCTGTGTTCTCCTCAGATATTCCGTTACCGCTTTTTGCCACTGTTACCTACAGACGACTTTTTTTGGAAGGTCATTCGCTTGTTCGCTTTTCTTTTTGCGAGTATCATTCGTTGTACTGTAACCCTATAATTATGCCGTTTCCCTCCTCTCACCAATTCCTAACACTTCGACCTACTTCCCCCGCCTTACTAACTTCTAACAATTCCACCAAATTCTAAAAGTTTCTATACTGTCTACTTTCCTACTCATTAACTAACTTACCCTCCTTTTTCCCTCCACTAATTCTCCCTTTATAAACCCCTTCTAAATCCAGACCCACGGTCAGTTAGTCAGTTCGTGGGAATCGTCCGTCTACGGCGCCGTTCGACCGTCCAACGCTGCAAGCGTCTCGCTTCCCCGTCTGCCGTTGTTGTCCTGTTGCACAGCTTGTGCGGTGCCCCGGCTCAC